AGTAAATATATTTTATATTACAAATTTTAAATAAATAAATAAATTAATCATTTAAATATTATATAAAATTTTAAAAAAAATAATAAAAAAATTATACTTAAACCATTGTACTTTTAAAATTATACATAGATAAGGAAGTTCTATCTTGAAATGTGATTTAACGGAAATTGACGTAAGCATGAAGCGGCATCGGCATCTAAATCCAAACCTACCAAAACGTTCTTTCCCAAGTACCCTTCTTTCTCCATCTCCACCTGCCGCATTGGTAAATAAATATAATTATAATACTCGAATAGAACGCCCAAAACCTCGCCAACCAGCTTTGTCTTCATCGATCACATCGCTGTGGTCTCCCTCACCAACCGCCGCCGTCTCCGATCACTTGATTCCTCCATGGCTACCATTTCTAAGCTCTCAACCCCGACGCCGACCTTCTTCTCACTTTCGTCTTCCTTCAACTCCAGATCTTCCTCTCCCCACCTACCTAAAGTCTCCGTCGATTTCCGAAACACAGGCGGTTTCGGCTCCAAGCTCTCGTCTTCTAGCCTGTCTCTACGGAGCAACCGATCTTCCGGTGTTTCCTTGGTGTGAGTATATATTGCCTGCAAACAACGCGTTTTCTGTGTTCTTCATCATATTTTTAATATCTATCACAATTCAGAATTCAGAAATATAATACCTTTTGGCCTGGAAATATATAGTGGATAATTTGAAAGAAATTTGTAAAGGTCATGGTCAATCATCAAACTTATTTTTCAGAAAAATTAGGATTATAAATGTTATTCATTGTAATTTTTTATTGTTCTTTTCGGGGTTGAGTTTAAGCTTAATGATTCAGTTTCTGTTGCAGTGTCAGATCTTCTGTTTCTGGAAATGGTAGTCCAACAAAGAAGACTACCCTACATGATCTCTATGAGAAAGAAGGTCAGAGTCCATGGTATGACAACTTATGCAGGCCTGTGACGGATCTGCTTCCACTGATTGCAAGTGGTGTTAGAGGTGTAACTAGCAATCCCGCGGTAAATGGCTGCAATGGTTTGAGATTTTTGTCAATCCAATTTGTGGGAATTTATGCATTGTAATATCATTTTAACATGTTGTTTGATATGTGTCATTGCAGATTTTCCAAAAAGCAATATCATCTTCAAATGCTTACAATGATCAGTTTAGGTAGTCCTTAAATTCCTTATTCAGAAGTTTTGTCATGATTTAGTTAAATAGAAACTAGAAGCATGTTTATCTATCTGGAGTTGGCTAGTCTGGTAAATTTTTTTGTAGCTTCGAGTTGCATATGATATTTCTTTGATCTCCTAATGCAAAAATCGAAAGTTCCACCTGATCTTTTTCAATGCATGTGACATTAAAATTATTGGAATTTGTAGAGAACTTGTACAATCAGGGAAAGATATTGAAAGTGCATATTGGGAGCTTGTAATTAGGGACATCCAAGATGCCTGTAAGCTTTTTGAGCCAATTTATGATCAGACAGATGGAGGTGATGGATATGTTTCAGTCGAAGTTTCTCCTACACTCGCTGATGATACTCAAGGTACCATTGAGGCAGCAAAATGGCTTCATAAAGTGGTTGATCGTCCCAATGTGTACATTAAGATTCCTGCTACGGCTCCATGCATCCCTTCAATCAAGGAAGTTATTGCACAAGGCATAAGCGTCAATGTCACTGTGAGTTCTCTGACTTCTCATTCATCCTTAAATTATATGAACCATAGTGTTATAGGACATCTGTTTTACCAGCCTTCTGACAAGCATGTTCTGGAATAGCATTTCTAACTATCTGTATTGTGGTTTGGATATTAACTGATTAGTAAGAGTCCTTTCATCGTACCAACCCAGCATTTTCCAATCACTAAAAATGTGGCCCTTTAATTGTTTTGGTTTACTTTAGTTTTTGACTTGCTTCAGTGAAGTTGGAGAAAGATTAACAAATAACTTGTATGTTTATGAATTGTTGTTTTACTTCTCTGTTGTTTTTAATCATGATTCTTACCTTCTAAGATCCTAAATTGCATTCTTTTTTTCTTATGATTATGCACAGCTCATATTTTCTCTTGCTCGATATGAAGCTGTAATTGATGCGTACTTGGATGGCTTAGAGGCCTCTGGGCTAAGTGACCTCTCTAGAGTCACAAGTGTGGCTTCCTTTTTTGTCAGTCGGGTAGATACCATGATTGACAAGATGCTCGAGAAGATTGGAACCCCAGAAGCCCTTGATCTCAGAGGAAAGGTAATTTAACTGCATAATACTTACTTCTTTGGACATTAACTAAAGTTATATGTTAAGATTTGCTTGAATAATTCACTTTTTAGGCCGCAGTAGCTCAAGCTGCTCTGGCATACCAGCTTTACCAGAAGAAATTCTCTGGTCCAAGATGGGAAGCTTTGGTGAAAAAGGGTGCCAAGAAGCAAAGGGTGTTGTGGGCCTCAACTAGTGTCAAGAATCCTGCCTACCCTGACACTTTGTATGTTGCCCCTCTTGTTGGACCTGACACGGTGAGCCATCTTATGTTGGACTTCCTCTTCATTCTTGATTTTCATTTAGAGACAATTTGTTGAAAAGATTCCTCCTTTTTTTTGGGTATTGTTTTGTGAAAAGATTTATCATCCCCTAATGTTTGTGGTCATTTGTTCCATTCTAGGTTTCAACCATGCCTGACCAAGCTCTCCAAGCATTTATTGATCACGGCATTGTTTCAAGGACAATCGATTCAAATGTGTCTGAAGCTGAAGGCATCTATAGTGCCCTTGAGAAGTTGGGAATTGACTGGAGCCATGTTGGGTCTCAGCTTGAACTCGAGGGGGTTGACGCTTTCAAGAAGAGCTTTGACAGCCTGCTTGACACCCTGCAAGAGAAGGCAAACTCTCTTAAATTGGTTAGTCCGTAATCGAAAGTTATATGCTTGTTGGTTATTGCGAGTGACTCAATAAAGACCCAGAAACCCTTGTTATAAAAAAATTAGAAAAAAATAGAGTTTCATTCCTGAAGTTCGTTCTCTTAAGTGTGTTTATTACGTCAATGATAAATTATTATGTAACATAAGGGGGCCTGGCGATTGGTTAAACGAAGATTTCATTTTGCTTATTATCTGTTCTTCTACTATTATTTCTTGAGAAATGTTTGAGAAATGTATAAATAAAGAAGTCAATTTTATTTTTTTTTAATTTAAAAATATTAATTTGTTAATTTTTAAATAAAAATGTTAATTTTTAATTTTTTT